GAAGTGAGCGAACACATACTGTCGCTCGCTCACTTCTCGATCTATCCCTGCAGAGAGCCGTGACTGTCACGGCTCCAGGCAGGGATCCCCCCCGTCCGATCCTCCAGCGCTGACTGGTGAAACGGATGGGGGAGGGGGCGGGCACAGCTGGCTCTGCCTCTGGATAGGCAGAGCCAGCTGTCAATCCCGCAGCTGGGCGGATCCAGACAGTATTGTTGGGATCCGTCCCGGCTGCGGTGTCTCAGTATATCGCGAGCTGTAGCTCGCGGTATACTGAGCTTAGGGTGACGGGAGGACGCTAGTGTGTGTCCTCACGTTACCCTTAGGAGAACTATGGGGAAAAGCCCTGACCCCATAGTTCTCCTTTTAAGGCTTATTTTCCCCTGCCATCCCAGAAATCATAGAATATATGTATAAATCCGTAAATGTGACTTTCACCAAACATTCATTGCATCTGAGTCATCACTGTCATTCAAAACACATGTACTTGCTTTAGAAATATACCCCCATTTGTTATTATCTTTAAAAGAGTGTTCTTCTGCCCTCAGAAGAGTAGAATCTCACCTGTTCTGGGGCTTATGATAGACAGGTGAGGGGGTGGGATTACCAAAATCTTATATCTGTCTCTGCCTTCCTGTCCAGGTGACCCTCTTCCGTTCATTTTTGTCTTGGTTTCACAAGTAGATCCTCCCTCCCATAGGGTATCAGACAACAATCAAAACCTGTACAGAGGTTCCTACTCTATTAAAAACAAAAAGAAAATGGAGAGTTGGGCTTTAAATAACATAGTATCACTCTAATTAGTTTAAACAAATATATTTTTGGTGACACATTCACTATAAGGTAAGACATACTAATGGTTTTTGATGGCCACTCTGAATACTGTCAGTCTGGCCTCCGTGGATAACTAGAGCTTATTAAATGTGATACCTCATTCGACAGTGAAATTGGTGTATGGCAGAATAAATACCTGTTCCTGTTCCAAGCTTAAGCGAAACAATGAGGTCAGACACGCAGCTGGCAGTAACTCATACACTGATATGAAACGCTGTGGAACATTTCCACCGGCCCTCTGCAGGAGAGGGTATTACAACTCAGGTTATCCTCTATGGGGCGAGATGACAGCAGAGGAAAGACAAACACACTGAGCAACTAAACAAGTTATCTGTGCACTCATTTCAAAGCCTTCTTCCTAGTTTCTAAATCAAGATGAAAGGATGCTGTGATTATTAGCCTTGAAAAGCTGTCAGGATATTCATTATGCGGGGATATTCAAGCAAGTCACTGTCTCTGCTCCAACACTTACAAAGGAGCCTTCAGTGACTGAAGTGTCTGAGGATGTAGATTGGATTACGGAGTGTAATTCCAGAGCTGGTTCTTCTATGAGAAATATGTTAATCTGTGTATTCTACGTCTATGCATCTTTACATGTCGTGAATATGTCTGTGATGTCAGCGTGTGTTAATGTTTTAACGCTGTTGTAATTTTGCTTCAGTTTTGAATATGTGCATATTTATTCTTGGTTTTTATCAGGTGCATTTAATGCAAAACAGATAAAAAGGTTTAAAATTGCTTTGCTGTATTTTTTAAACTTAATTGGTTGTGGCTGTTTAGTCTTTTGCCTTTTTTGCAGGCACTTCTACAAAAGTAACTTGTGAAAAGAACCTCTGGAATTATAGCAACTAAAACAAGCATTGAGATTTGTTTCCATTAAACCAATTATGGTGTACGTTTAATAAACTGTGATAAAACTAGCTTTATCACGAGTTAACTTTACTCAGCAGATCTCTTTGTTTTTCTCGGCTGCACAGAGGCTGTTTAATAACCTGCGAAAAGAAAACTTATCTCACGTAACAGTGTGAAAGGCTGAGATAAGTTATCTCAGTGATCAGTTGAGAAAGCAATGTGGGGAATGTATTCTGAGCTGCACAATGACATCCTTTGTGATAATCTGCAATCCTTCTGACAGGATCGTAGTTTAATCTGCCAAACCACCCATTAACAATATTACAAAGCACCGCTATAGCAAAGTGCAACAGTTATTTCACCGTTAAAATTAAGAAAATTGCTAAAAAACAGGATTTTTACATGTTCTGATTTGTTCAGCATGTACCAGTACAAACAGAGGATAACATTAGTAGACATGTATCGCAAGTGAAGTGTAGAGGTGCTGGAAGTTTCGCACCCCGGGTTATAGTATAGGAAAAATAGGATGTTTCCACAATGGGGTGTGCAAGTACCCAGAGGGAGAAAAGAAAAAGGGGCTTTTGAGAAATAATTCCAGGACCTCAAAAATAAAATCTTAGAAATACATTTATTGCAAAAATCTTTTGCAATACAAAAGATATGATATTTATACATTTAAAAATAAGCGAAAAAAACCACAGTAGGTAAAAAACATATGTGGGTACATTCACCAGCTGGTGAAATTACCGTACAGTATCATGGTGGCGAAATGGTGTTACAGATGTTATGTGTGGAGTGCAATGTTCACTGCATCTGCCTCAAAAACATACTCCCCAGACATCCTTCAAGCTTTATTGCTGGGCCTGTTTCAGAGGGAGAGTGAGACTTCAACAACAAGCCCTAAGGTCACATGACCTTACTGAACTTTCCCTCACACATCGATCGATCTATCTATCTATCTATCTATCCAGATATATATAGTGGCTTTGTTATTTAAAGAGGCCATTAAGCTTTACAAAATAAAAAAACCTGTAATGAGAAAGTATGAAGACTGACATTGCGTATTTCTTCTTTGGAGAATACGAGTTATCTGGCTGTCATGCTCATCCTGTGGCTTTAATGTATATCTAAAACCAAAAACTTTATTTTTTTGGATTGGGAGGAGAAGTGTGGAATCTCCTGTCAGGTTTTTATAGCTTTCTGTGTCACCACTGGGAAGACATGTATTTGCCCTGGTGACCACTGTCATATTTGATGGGACTTCCACTCTCTTTGTACAGATATCCTCTTACATATAATTGTGTTTACCGGACAAGGAGTGAATGGAATGCTCCCCAACTAAATACAGACTGTATTGTCAAAGTATGCAGATCAGGTGTTCTGACTTCACTTTGACTTTCCTTTTCTACACATGTGCTCCAGGTCAGTGACTCAGAAAATCCTGAAGCTAGAGACAGCAAAGCAAGTAGTATTCATAGAATTAAGTCAGCAATATCAGAGCCTATAACTTCTCTCCCAGCACATGCATAAAAGGTTATGTAAAGAGATGGGAGGAGAGGGGAGGATGAGCTGGGCCAGCACAGAGAGTAGTTAGACACTTCCAGTAGAAGAGAGTGCTATATCATGCAAAGAGGAAGGGGGGTATGCTAAGGAACTGTCTCTCTCTGGAGTAGCTAAATTGTATAGCTAATTTAAAGGCACATTGAAAGTCAATACAATTAAAGCCATTTACCTGCAGATTTTTTAAGTTAGGTACAGGGTTGTGATGCTAATAAAACTTGACAAACCCTAAACTGGGTGGTGGGAATGGAGAAAGCCGTACTGCACACAGTCTTACCCTAATTTCTCCAAAAGTCACAAGTCAGTGACAAAAACAGGTTTAAATCTCATGTCTGTGCTAGACAGCCATTTAAAAGTGACACCTTTGACAAAAACAAACCAGCTTGAAGCACCTTTGACAGAACACAGGTCAGCTAAGAAGCTGTGCAGCAATGTCATAGAACTTCATTAGCAGAGTCATTAAAAGGCTCCTTATGCAGCCTGTTTAAATAGCCATTTCTTAAAACAGTCTGCAGAATTGTTTGAGCAATACACATTCTGTTTGCTTTTTTTTAAAATTAACTACCAGATCCCAACTCTATCCATATTCTATAAATATCACTGTGATGAAGTTACTGTCATTGGTTACTTGAACAATTGCAAAGATGCCAATCGGACTCCTGCCTATATATGGTCCAGACAGCTAATGGGACATATTCGACCTCCTACGTGAGACGTGCATAAGCTCTATATCATTTTTGGTCTCTACCAAGTTGTAATTTCCTTCTGTTAAATAATATGTTGGTTGACTGGGTGTAAAACCTTGTCAGCTGGAAATATAGATGTCTTTAAAATAATTGGTAGCAAGGGTGGGTCAGTCAGGCTTTCCATCACATTAAAGTAAACCTGTAATTTTGCCCATTAAGGGCAAAAATGATTGTTCACGTTATAGCCCACCTCCTGGAATAGTAATGTTTTTCTCCCCTGTGCTCCTCTGCTGACCTGTCAACCTGTCAGATCTGTAGGAAATAACCAGTATTTCCTTGCTTGGTTGTAGACTTTCTGAGGTACTCAAAAATATTAAGCTGCATGATATATAGCTAGGTACCTGCTTTACAGCCCGGGAAACAGTATACTACAATTTAAGGTAGTTTTTCCATAAAAATAATGTACAAAAATTAAAAAAATTAACTTTTAACGCTAAAAATATTATTATTGTTTACAGAGCTCAGTATCTCAAACTTAAATTTGCATACACAACTGAATGAGTCAGAACTGTGACTCTTCCCCATCCCTCCTAAATAGAGATGAGCCTGGACTTGGTGTTAACCTAGTTTGCCCAAGCCTGCTCAAAAGTGTCACCAGCACTTCCCCCTCCCTGCTAATCAGTGGTGGCATTTTGCAGCGGGGCATTCCCTGCCCCTCTGTGACGTATAGCTGTGGGGTGGGGAATGTGCCTCTCAACATCTGATAAGGCTGGGAGGAGGGGGTCACAGTTTTGGGCAGGCTTGGCCGAATTCAGGGGAACTGGGTTCACACCAAGCTCAGGCTCATCTCTACTCCTGAACACTTAATTTGGAGGTTTTACTGAAATACAGCAATCTCTCTTTTGTTTTGATATACAGAAATACATTTAAATCAGATGGACCAAAATTCATTATAGTTTCCCTTTAAAGCAGATTATATATGTTTAGAGTTCCCAGGCTTTGCTGTATAACTTGGGTTTTAGCGGAAGCAGGGCAGTGGCCTTATGAACAATCTGATTTCTTTTTCAGGTGGACTTTTCTCCAGCTCTTATTGCACGCACTGTTTTGGAGAGATTCCTTCAAGATAAGGATGGGCAACCACGTATGTATAAATACATTTCCAACACATTTTTGTTTTGGTTCAAATTTTATCACAATTGTAAGGAAAATAATATACACCGTGAGTGCTGAAAAAATTATGAATCAAAAGATAGTCACAGCAGTGAAATTCTTCACATTGCCTGTACTCCCACTTTATGCAGTCTATAAATGCATAAAGTGGCTGAATAAAACTGTCCTGACTTCAACAACTTTTCTTTCAGTGTCTTCAAAAATATCCTTTCTTGGCATGATATGCCTCTTTGAATTTTTTTTTTCCAAATGACTTGACTTTTTCTAGTAAAAGTTTAAGAACCTGAGAATAATATTGAACAGAGCTAAGCCAAACCAAGCGTGCTAGCACTCAGACAGATGACTCTAATTACCCTCTTAATTAGGCTGATAAAAGGCAGGGGGCAGTTACTTTTTCATGCTTATGATTGCATATTTCATCATATTAATCATGCCACAAATTTTACTTAGAAATAACAGGTATAGTTATTTTTCTCCTTTTTGAACATCACATGATATGTGTCAGACTTGGTGAATGATCTGGCCAAAATGAATGTCAAGTAGGTGCGATAACAGAACATTTGGGAAAGTGGAAAAATTATATTTATTGAATTATTTACAAATTATTCTCACAATATTGATTTAGGATTTTTATGCTTAGAACTAATCTATTAAAACCTCTTTATTGATATTCACAGTACACAACCTTCAATGGTAGGTGTAACACTTTCAAAACCACAAAGTTATCAGCACAATGTATTAACATGTAAAGCAATAAAATATCCGTATCACACTGGAACAAGGCCCTCGCAAAGATGAGCCGTACTAATGTAAAAGTCCACGAAAGCCAAACAAATTCCAGTTACATGGGTGACCCATCAAAGTTGCTACATTAAAGTCAGTCATTAAACTCGGTAGAAAATACACACATTAGAAATTAATCTTTACTACATTATAGTCTCTAAGAAAGACATAATCCATGATGTCCGACAAGAATTTACATTTAAGCTAAGCTAATTCCTAAGCACATTTTGTCAGCCCCGCCTACTTCATTTCTTTTACCTTACAAAGAACCTTACCTTACACAAACCTCTCTTTTTCTCCTCCCCTTGCTCATTTCCAAAACAGGCAGGGAGCACAGGAAGTTCTCAGCTCTCAAGATTTCTTGCAAAATCAACATGTTTATTTTGCACTTATAAAATAGATATTATAAAACATTATCAATGGTATAATAAGCAGACTGGAAGGGAACAAAAATGAGAAGTTAATTTCTGGGATTTACATACACTTTAAGGAATACAATGGTGTCATCTTTCCACCACCAGCCTGCTGACTTCATAATGAATGAGCAGCAACAGATTGATTATCATTCTGTTTTCTCTGACTATCAACATGTTCTTTGTTGGCACATTTGCATACAACACTCTTGACTTAAGTGAATATTTACACTATTTTTTCAGTAAAGGTTCTCAACTTCTTTGGTAAATCATCCTTTATGAGTTCAATACTTTTTCAGTCATGGACCCGGAAAAAATACACAGATCAGGAATTCCTGCTTCTCTCCGACTTACTCTACTGCATTGTTGTTCTAGGTCAGTAACTCAGAGCACTTAAATTGACACTAAACTCAGTAGTTAAATCTTCAAAAATACATTCAAGTACCATATTAACCAAAATTGAGCTTGTGTATCACTCAGCTGTAGATCCATAAATCATCTCTGAATTGGTAGAGGGTGGCTACTTTTGTTCCCCATGGTCCCTGTGTGTGTGTTGTAAAGTAGCCACCACTCCAAGCTCACTCCTGTGATGAACTATAACTTAATTACAAACTATCTAACTAAACATGAGATTTTAGTCCATCACGGGAGTGAGCTTGGAGCGCTGGCTACTTTACAACACACACAGGGACCATGGAGAACAAACTAGCCACCCTCCAGAACGAAGGACAGTATCAGCATGAATTCAGAGATGATTTGAGGATCTACAGGTGAGTGATACACAAATAAGATTTTTTGTTAATAGTTAAGGTATGTGAATTCATTTTTAATATTTAACTTCTGAGTTTAGTTTCACTTTAAGGGCAGGTTCGCACCATTTTTTTGACCTTTTTTTAAAATTAGTTTTTAAGCTTAAAATGAGCATTCAGGTGCTTTCCAGTGTATTTGTATGCGTTTCCATGCGGTCCAGTGCATTCCAGACCAGACAAAATGAGATATGCAGTATTCTGGTCTGGAATGGACTGCGGTGGTGTGAACAGAGGCCATAAATAGCATAGGGATACAGAAGGATGCATTTTGGGTCCGGAAACAATCTGGTCTGGAGATTAAATGATGGGAATGGGCCTTAAGGCCTCTGTTCACAGCAGCGCAGTCTGTTCCAGACCAGTACAATACTGCACCTCTCATTTTGTCTGTCTGGAATGCATGGAAATGCATCAAAAATGCATGCAAACGCATTGGAATGCATCTGAAAGCCCATTTTAAAAAAGAAAGAAAAAGCTCCAAAACGCACCAAAATTGCGGTAAAAACCAATGCACTGAGTTCCAGATCTGGTCCGGAAAATGGTGCCCTAACTCAGAGAGACAAACTGGCAGTTAACAGTTTTGAAAGGAAGTCAGCAATGGCAGCCTCTATATTTCAGTCAGCACAGGTTTCCTTTAAGCGTATACCGTTTGTTTTGTTTCAACCATAAAAGTGACTTTGATTCAGGGTACATATTATTCTCTCTTATCTCTCTTATTTGCCATGACTTGATTGTTTGAAGCTGCTCAGTAGTAAAGCTCTGTAATGCCTTGTACTGATCTATTGCTGAAATTGTCACCAGCATGCTAACACTCGGATTTAACCATTAGCCTAAATTTGTCCTAATTTGGACATTCCCAGTGGAATCTATCATCCACTTGTGCACCAGTAATATGACTAGTTCTCAGATGATATTATTCATATTCTTACATGTTGTAGTTGTAAGGAGAGTTGACACTGGACTGCAGCTTACCATCATGTATTTTGGAAGGCTATACTAGACCCAGTCCTACTGTATAATCATATAATTGAAGCTCTAAAGTGGTTAGGTTTTAGAAACATGGAGTTATAGGGCCTGATTTACTAAACACAAATAGAATGTGCACTTTGCAAAGAATACCCAATCACATGCAAGGAAGATAAAAAATAAAATAAAAACAGTTTTTCGGCTTGCACAGAAATGGATCATGGAAGTCAACAGAGCTTCACCACATTCACTAAACTAAGCTAGCCACATCCTTTTATTTTTGTTTTGGCATGTTCTTAAAAACTGTTCTTACCCATCATTTTCAGCTGCAACCTAATTGGCATTATGTAATGCTGAAATTCAGACTAAACAAATATTGTCTAAATACAAGAGCCATGTACTGTATATTCTTACTTGGTGTCCATTGTGTATTTCTTCCAGAGCTGTGCAGTAATCCGACATGAAAAAGCTCCTGCACTTTGCCCTCTGTTCAGGAATTTCACTGTTGCTTTTTCTGCTTATGCAGGGTGACTGGTCTTGTCTCCACCCCCCTCCTGTAGTCTTCTACAGGCTGTCTGTAGTGGGTGGACCTGCTGGGTCCCACGCACATCTCTGCTGTCTACACAGGCTAAGTGCAGCACAGTGATAATATTGCCTCTACTTTAACATGGTAATATCTGGAATTTGGTGCACACAAAGTGGATTTATACCCTTTGTGGCTATTGGATAATATATTTAAATTAATCTTTTTGTGCCCAGAGTTCGGCTTTCATAAACCAAGAAGCATCATGCCCAGTACTTATCACATAGTAACATGTCAGCAGTATTTTACAGGCTGATATTGGCTAGTATAATTTGCACATCATCACCACACTGCATTATTAACAAAGGGAGAATGTCTTCCCTACAAATATTTTTTTAAGTATGTCTAATGATAAGAACTTTCCTGACCTATCCACGGATGAGGATCCTCCTTCACATTCGCCAACCACCCTTCAATAGAAATATTACATCTTTAACATTAAACATCTTCTCTTGAATCCTCAGCTTGTGTTGTTATATTGTCTTTACGCCCCACAATCTTCCTCCCGCACAGTAACACTGGGCTCGGCAAGAGGGTAGGAGGAAATACTCCGCTGCTACTAATAATAATAAAAAAAAATGTAGAGAGAGGAGAGATGAAAAGAGCAGTGCTTCAGGAGGAGGTTCAAACTTAAATTAATTTGCCACTGAAAAAATACATTTTGTTATTTTCTCCGTGTCAACTGCATGATTAAAACTGGCTGTTAAGTGAGCTCAGGGGATCTTCTCGTAAAAGATTTATGAGTAATGTTCAGTGCAATATTCAAAGTGAGCCATGAATATCAGGGTAATTGCTCTCTCTGCTGCTTCTTTTACTAGGCGCGAGTTTGTCAACTACGCCATAAATATTTGCCTAGTCTGGTGAAAAAGACACTTCCATCGCCTGCATTTTTTATTACCTGGTGTTATGTTTACCTTTTGAGTCCCGCCTTTAGGCACATAGGTAATCTAACAATAAAGAAGAAAGGCAGCAAATAATTCTTTGTGGGTTTCAGCTTCCCTGTTTTTTTTTTTTTTTCTTCAAATGCAGCTCGCTTCTAAAGCTTTGTTGCGTGCTCCGTAGCATGCAAAGTTAAACCTGGCCCACTTTTACTGTGCATTGACACAGCCACTATTTCCAGCAGTTGTATTTTACAGCCAGGTATATAGTCCATCTGTATAGAGAAGATTTAGGTTGTTGCCAGATGTTGTCACTGTGCTTTGGATGCTAATGAAGTATACCAGCAGCTAAGAAAGTCTTGCAATGTAAACCAATTTCACATTTAATATGTTTCTTTTTTTAATCCACATTCAGCTTCCTTTTGAGTTATAATTTTGCTAATTACTCTTCATAGTGATAAGGGGAAATCGATAGTAAAAATATAGAACCTCAAACTGATTAGGGTGATTGCACCCGCACATTATTAGGGGAGTTTTTTTTC